CATGTGCATCTATTTATTTACCTACGAATTTGACCGATCACAATCTTTACCCGACGATATATTTCTAAATATGCGTTAAAACACTCTTTTCATGCATATGGAGGAACAAAAAGAATACATGTGTTTTTGATCTAAAAAATAGAATACTAAAATGCCGCAAATTGTATACGATTTTCATCATAAGGCAGCGAGGAATACAACTAACATGCTTGACATTTTGAGCGGTTTTGACCAGTTGCAAAGCGTGAAATTTAAATGGCTTAAACAATTTTAACAAAACCGCATTACCATACAATACAAATAGGAAAATTGAGAGAAAACTAGAACAAAAAAACCACAAAATATTTGATAAAGTTGTGGATATTTTAATATTCTATTCACCGAGCACGATATACAGAACAACCATCGACAGCCTTGACTGTATTCTTTGTACTCCACTCAATTGTAAGAAATTTTAATAGCTTCCATTTGGAAAATGTTTATTAAAAATCTGGCGGAGAACCAGCCGCAAACAACAAAAAATTCAATTTAAAAACACCATTCGCCCGAGGTGATCGAACAGAGCCCGAACGGGTCTTTTGCCCTCACTTTGTTTATCATAACAGAACTAATGTTGCGGCGATTTTAATAACATCGCGCTTTGATGAAAAATCTGTTTGAAACAATGTCGCGACAGATGCCTGCAAGGAATGGATCCAAATGGATCCGCACTCCATATACTCTTCTTGATTATCTTATATTTAAATGGCTTTTCGTCGACAGTGAACGGAAATATCAACTCCAACTTTGTGGGGTTTTAAATTAATTTTTTTCATTTCTAAAACAGTAAATTAGCAAAATTCTTGAAGGTTTATTTATAGCTTAACCAGCTCCAGCTTAACTTTTTTTGATAGTTTCTTCATTAACCGATCATTTTATCTGTTATAGTCTACATAATAACAAATTGCGATTTTTAAACGGTACACGATACTCTTTTTGAACTACTGTTTTGTTTAAATTTTAATTTAAATCATTTTGTTCTGAACCACTGGCTGGAAACAAATTACTTTTGAATAATTAACGAGGCCCTGTGTTCCATACAGGTATACTTGTCGAGGAAATATTTAAACCGAAAAATAATTGAACAAAACAATGCTGATATTAAAAGACTACTCCTTTTTAAATGCGCTTTGAAGTTACCCCATTAATGTGTTCGACCATGCATTTATTGAATTTATAGAGAATATACAAATTGGGGAATTTTCAACTCTAACTGATACGGTCAGTATTACGCTTTTATCAAGTAACTTCCACCATTAAGGGGGCTCTATAAAAGCCATATTTTTGCATACAAATGCAGGAAAAGGTTTAAAAAGTTCATAGGTCGCAAGAAACAAACACATAAAAAAAGACTTTCAGCTAACCGACTCTATTCCCGAAACGCTCTCAACACGCTCTTGGAATTAATACATTTTGATTGCGTTATTAGAGAATATTGCTTTTGGGATAATGATAATGACACTTGAGCATTGGGACTTCCGCTTCCGATATATAACATAAATACACGCAAAATAGGGTTTTTCTACCTGCATTTTGAGTTATTAACAGAACTATTTCCATGCCAGAAGCGATTAACAAACGTCCGAACAATTGGTAAACAATGATTTTAATTATGCATTTTTATTGAGATCGTATCCTTCAATTCTTGTCTTCGTCATGTCATTTACTTATAATGATCAGATTGCGTGCCCGAACCGAGTGATATTGATTAATTTATTTTTCCAGTCTGAAATTCTATTTGGATTTCCGGAAATTTTCCAATTTAAACAAATTACGATCGATGTTTGAACACCCTTTGTGTTTGCGTCAATATTTGTATACTACTTGTTTGCGTTATATCGTTTCGGGGGGGTTTTCTTCGTGTTTTTTTTTGGCTGCTGTTGATTCTGTTCAATGTAGGCATTGTTTACCATACTTTCCATTATTTATGTCAGAAACTCTAAATAGGTAGGAACTGGATAGGAATTTTTCCATTCACATTCTCCATTTAATTTACATTTGCTTCCTTTTCAATATACAGGATGTTAGAATAAATGTTGAAAATGTATCTAAGTAACTTTTTGCCCCCAATGGACAAAAAGTACTAAACTCATTGGCGTTTTGAAGAAAAAATTGTGGCCACCGATTTTTTTGCAAGTTTACTACTTTTTCGGATTAGACAACTTTTTTGTCTCCTAATTTCTTTTCGTATTTTGCTTCGTTTTCCACATACAAAAATAGAATTCCTGCGCTTCAGACAAACATAATTAATGAACTGCAAGTAAATTATTTAACATCCTGAAAATTGCAAAAAAACTCTTCCGATTTTATGCTCACGTAACTGTTCTTCTTCTTATAACCAGAAACTCGTATGTCAAATATCTGTAGCTAAAGAGCTAACAATAAAAATAAAAACCTTGCAGTTTTACTGATATTTCAAAGACGGATTATTCTTTAGACTTAACACTATTCATGCCTCTATTTTCCCTCAATTTTTTGATCGGAGCTTTGAAACGCCAAAACTTCATCTCTTTGTTCAATTGAGAAATTTTTCAGTCCGTAGTATTTTTGCGTATCTTTGACGTAATTCGAGCAAGCAAACAATTATGTAAAAGGTCCTGACTGTAATACTAATTTCTTTCCAAAAATCTCCATTTGCAATTGTTCTTATTAAATAAAAAAAAAATAACTAAAAAAATTATGAAAATTGTCAATATGCAAAGAAACAATTTTCGAATTTCGACGAATGTGTTCCTTTAGCATTTTTTCTCAATATTTTTGTTCTCTTACACTTAAATTWAAAAAAAAAACTACYGAAAYATCGTTAGTTCAACTAAAATGTTTTTTAAACCTGTTAATAATTTAAAGGTTTTCTGGTTATTTATGGTCGCATATTTTTTGCTTAAAACGCTCTTAAAACGTGAAACTTTGCGTGGGCTCACCGTTGATTTAAATGATTTCAAGTTGGAAACAASAGACGATTGAAAGTGAATTAATAAATCAAAAATTCCATTCAGGTTCTCTAAAACACCTCCTTAATTTCYCTAAAAAAATAAAAARCTTTGATAAAATATTTTGAATAAAGATTTCGTATTTTTTATGTTTCTTTTAAACAATTGTTCCTCACTTTTTTAGTACCTCGTTGCGGATTTCTTTCCTTCGTAATTTTAAGATGTTTGTACCTTTCAATACCGTTTACATAAGAATAAATAAATAAATCCTAGAAAACCCAACTATAAAGAATTCTCTCAAATGAACATTCACAAAAAATTGGCTTTACTGAAGGTCGAAATCGCGTTCTGTTTTTTTCTACTGTACGTTTTTAGCTTGTGCATTCTAATCACTTTATTATTCTGTGCGTTTGTGATTATGTGATTTTTTCTATTCATTTAATTCGATGTAGAAAAGTCTTACAATATAGGCATTTGCGTTTGACTAACGGATTAAGGAAAAACACTAAATAAGCATTAATAAATGCCATTCAAGTTGAGCGTATAATAAACCTTTATACACAAATGGTTTGAACGAATTAAAATAATTCAGAATTATCACGTTGAAAATTCTATAATTCACATGGACATAAATGTGGGGAAAAAAGCAACAGAAAGCTAATAAAGTTTTTTGTTTGTAGTGATACATGGCAGCTCAATCAGCATTTTGACATAAAAGTTCTAGAAAAAAAACATAAATACTAGTTTGGCTGACAGTGGTGATTTTTCTCCGAAATCTGTTCAATTTTGTGCTGCATTTGCAACCAGAATTTGTCTGGGACGGCTTTGAAGCGAGCTTGCAAAATGTTGCTCTAAATGGAGCATTTGAAAAAAAATGAGTCCCACCCATGTTTAACGTGAAAAACTGGCAGTTTTCGAAAC